GCCTGTAAGCGCCCGCGCGCGGGGCTGCCCACCCTGCTTGGCCGTCTGTCTGTGTGCCCGCGGCTCTGTCTGCCCGCCCCGCCGTTCGTCTGACTTTCCGACTGCGTATCTGTCCGTCCGCGCGTCCCCCTTTCTCAAATCCCGCTGACCACCTCTCCGTCTCTCTCCCGCAGGTGTTTACACTTCCTGCTGCTGTGCTTCCAGGTACAGGTACGTGGGCTCCTGACTCTGACCTCCCCCGCGCCCCTGCCTCGCGGTACACGCCGACCCCCTTCCCCGGACCGCGCCTCCTCCCGGTGCCCCACCCCTCCTGGGCGCGGAGCCCAGTGCACCTGTTCCCAGGGCGCGGAAGGGCGGCTCCGCGCGCGCCCCGCGCCGGCGGCGGACCGGCCAAGGGCAAGGAGCTCTACTGCGGGGACCCTGCCGGCCTCAGCTGGGACGAGATCCTCGGAGCCCGCGGGCTCAGCCGCTGCACCGTGCCCCGCTCCGAGCCCCCTGCCCGCAGCCGGCGAGGAGCTGGGACCTAGGGATTTTCTCTGCCAACCTTCCCTTAACATTTCTGCTCGCTCGTTCAAACAAAAAGGCTCCTTTCAATCGAGTGGATTTTGAGTCCAGAGAGAAAGCTTCAGTTGTAAATTACTCTGTGGTTTCAAAGGCGTTTGCAGCATTGAAAGCTTGAGAGAGGGAGAGAGAGAGGGAGGGAGAGAGAGAGAGAGAGCGAGCGAGAGAGCGAGTCGCGAGACTAGGGGAGACTGGGGTGAGAGGGAGCAGAGCGGGGCGCCTGGGCTGAGGGGCCGTTGCCCTGGAGGCTGCTCCGAGTCGGCCGCGCTCCGCACACCCTCGCCCAAGGTGGTGCAGCCCTCGGCTGGTTCCCTCCTCGCTCCCCGCTCGCTCGCTCTCCGTGAATCAGAAGAGGGCTTGGCGCTCAGCCTGGAAAGCACTTGCTAAAATCTGATCTGTTACTTCAGCAGCTTTCAGACTCGGGAAGGTCTTGGCACACAGACAGTTGGAACGCTGGGGCTTCCAAAGCCGTGGAAATGAAG